AGGGAATTCGACTGGAGGGAACAGACCTCAACATAATTAAAGCCATATACAACAAACCCACAGCCAACATCATTCTGAATGGAGAAAAACTAGAAGTATCCCCATCAACATTAGGAACCAGACAAGGTGTCCACTATCTCCACCCCTTTTCAACATAGTACTTGAAACTCTTGCTGGAGCAATAAGGCAAGAAAAGGAAATTAAAGGAGTAATAATTGGAAAAGAAGAGGTCAAACTATCACTTTTTGCAGATGATATGATATTATACCTAAGAGATTCCAAAAGTTCCATCAGAAAAGTCCTAGATCTGATTAAAACTTTCAGTATAGTGGCAGGTTATAAAATATATCTACAAAAATCAGTAGCCTTTCTATATACCAATCAGAAGCTATTGAAGAAAGAATATAGGGAAATGCTCCCATTCACAATAGTTGCAAAAAAAATATCTTGGAATAAATCTGATCAAAGACACCAAAGACCTCTACAATGAAAATTTTAAATCATTAAAGGAAGAGATTGAGGAAGACACCAGGAGATGGAAGGACCTCCCATGCTCATGGATTGGAAGAATTAATTGTGAAAATGACCATCCTACGAAAAGCAATATATAGATTCAATGCAATCCCAATAAAAATCCCTTCTAATACTTCACAGAATTAGAAAAATGCATCCTTAAATTCATATGGAGGCACAAAATAGACCCCAGATAGCCAAAGCAACCCTGAACACAAAGAGCAATGCTGGGGGGATTACTATACCAGATCTCAAAGTATACTACAGAGCTTGCCTTAAAAACAGCATGGTATTGGTGCAAAAGTAGACACATAGATCAATGGAACATCATTGAAGATCCAAATTCATCAATTTCAGCCACCTGATATTTGACAAAGGTGCCAAGAACACACAATGGAGGAAAGACAGCATCTTCAACAAATGGTGCTGGCAAACTGGATCTCCACCTGTAGAAGAATAAAACTAGATCCTTATCTTTTGCACTGTACAAAAGTCAACTCCAAATGGATCAAAGACCTCAAT